CCCCATGCCGACAATTTGCCTAAGGAAAAATTCACTTCAATGGGATTCCCCACCCCACCTTATCCAGATTACCCGTGCAGGCTCCGATCCAGTTTATGGCCTTAGCATCGTGTTACTGATGAACAGGCTAACACACAACTATGTAGGGAAATGAAAGCAACAACAATAACAAGCTAAAGGGTAGAGTGCAATAATAATTTGAGACAATATTTAACTCTATAATTACCAATTACTGCAGTCAAATTAGGCATAGTCCAGTAGAAGCTCGGTTTTCGAACTTAATCCGTTCAGGAAGATCATTTGGCTTCCGAAAAGTTCGAAAACCGAGGATCAATGGGCTGGCTGCAAAGTCAAGGGGGGGGGATGAAAAACACAGCTCAGAAGCCATTGGGCTTCCAAAAATCATTCGAAAACTGGAGCAGTTACTTCCAGGTTTTCAGTGTTCAGGAGCCAAAATGTTCCAAAACGGAGACGTTTGGGAACTGAGGTTTGACTGTCCTGCCAATAGTCACCATGATAATACAATGGTGTGCTTCAAATAGCCGCAGACTAGCTCACTTCCTTTGGAGTCGAAATAATTAATCGCTTCCTGCCAATATCCTATCCTCTGTCATCCTAGATAACTGAAACCACACAAAAGTACAATTAAATTATGTGTACACTTGGGGAAAATTGACAACACAACTAGTAATTCCTGCCGCTTGGTTTTATTTGCCTCCATTTGAATATAAGCTGCCTACTTTACAGCCTGAGTGCAATGTGAGCCCAACAGCTGTTCAATAACCATTAATAGAGTATACTCTGTGCTGTCTGCCGACATAAAATGATTAAACTAATCAAAGCTATCCCCCAGACAGTGCTGGGAGTCCTTTCATCGTTCTGATAGAATAGCAAAAAAGTTAGAAATGAAGCTTTTGAACAGCAAGTCATCTAAAGCTGTCAAACAGGATTGGGAAATCTCATAATTAGAGAAAGTGCCTTCTGCAATTATGAAGAGTGCCTTTTGCAGACAAGTGTTACAATTTCAGTAAATAAATAACCAATAACCAATAAATGTTTTGTCTTATTTTTAAGTTACACATCTCAGAATTGGGAGAGTAATAGAGCCTTAAAATAATTGATACGGTGAATTGTGGGGAGGAGGGGACAACTAACAGCTGCTGATATTGGGAGCTTAGGATGATGGGTTTATTGTCGGGAATGAGATGCTGAATAAGAAAGCAAATGTTGCCCTCTAGTGACTCGGAGTGGGAAAGCAAGGCAAATGTCTGGGATAGGAGAGGTAGAACTATTGTCAATTTCGCAGTTAACAAAGTTCAGCCGGGTTAAGGTAATGGATTGCAAACAAAGCGCAGTTGGATGTTGGCTGGATTTGAGTTATTGGAACCATTTGTGTCTTATTGTACTAGAACAGATTCCTTTAAACACAACTAGGAGTGAATGCATCAGTTTCAGTTTCTAATTTTCCATTCATTTCATTATTATTTCTTTGTCAATTAGCTTTTTAAAAAAATAACTCATGAAAATTTGTCAATGTTTTAGTGCAGATTTCTTCACATTTTTGCATGCAATTTCCCCTGAAATAGATACATTATTGTACACGTTATTTGGTTGGAGAAGTGCACCACAAAATTCAGAAAAGTGCAAATCTTGAAGGATAACTGTGTTTTGCTTGACACGTTGGTTCAAGAGCAGCAAATTACCTAGTTTCTCCTTAAAAAGCAAACAAAATCCAATTTATATTCCCATCCCTAAACAAAACTGCTTAAATGCTGCACTGTGTGTAAGATCCCCAGTCAGTTCTGGCAATTTCCACCACACCTTCACCATCTCCCCTCACCTTTTTAAAATCAGCTTGTAGTATTCTAGAGCAGCTTCTGTGGCTGTGCTTCAAAAACGCCTTTAAGCCTATGGGATGGGCCGTCATTCTGCTTAGAGTTCCTCATTTCTTCCTACCTTTAAATTAAGAGCTGGAGCAGGAGATGGTGCATCTGTCATTTCCCCCAGCCTTATCACCTACTTCTGCTTGTTGCAAAACACTCTGATGGGACATGTTGCAGTAGAGCGGAAAGAGAGAAGGGAAGGAGCAAACAGGAGAACCCTCCGCTCTAGATTCAGCAGCATTTAAAGGTGTCTCCAGGTTGCAACCCATTTTCTGCTCTCCACGTGCCAACCAGGTCTTCTACAATGCTGTATATGAGATACTGCAGCCTATTTGGTTTTAAACCCTCACAAAATAAAGTCCTGCTATGCATAGGCAAGTGGAGGACATGGCTTCAACTCCTTGTTGTGGTCCTTGCTTGCAGAAGGCAGGTGGACAGGTAGGCCTTCTCTGTATCCCACCGAAGGTGGAGCAGAGAAATAGCTGGTGGTGGCAAGAGATACAGGGCCTTCTTGGTGGCTGCACCAACACTATGGTACAGTATGCTCCAGGTAGCTCACATGGCCCCTTCTCCGGCTACCATTCAACGTTTCTTTCTTTTGTACTCCAGCGGGTTTGTGCCTGCTAAGTACCTGATGCTTTATTTAGAGATTGTGTCCATCTGTGGTCTCTGCTTCTGTTGTATTTTTATTGTGTTTTTCGTTAAATGCATAATGATATTGTGATTTTTGATTGGATTGGAATCGTAACACCATAGAATTGCAGAGTTGGAAGGGAGCCCCAGAGTCATTTGGTCCAACCCCCTGCAATGCAGGAATATCAACATGCGGTCACCCATCTAATTTGAAACCATGCCGGACCCTGCTTAGCTTTGAAAATGTGCTAGCAGTTTTATTGCTCCATCAGGTTGCAATTGTTGCAAGCTGCTCTGTCAGTAGTGTTGTTTGTGTGTGGTGGGTTGGACTGTGGAGCTGCCCTCCAGTGTGACTGCTCCATACCTGGATGGCGCTGGAGTGGGTCAGGCAGCAGCATGTCTGGAGCCAGGCAGATGCCCTGGTGGGAGCACAGAAGTGGCCCTGTTGCTCCACCTGTGCTGTCATGACCTTGCAGCCACCACCCAGCCTTCTCCCAGCCCTGTTGAGGTAAGCAATAGCATTACTAGTGTCACTCCTCCACTGCTCGACACCACTGCATGCGTCGCTCCTGTGCCTGAAGTAATTCATTAGGTACTTGCAGCATCGGACCAAAAAATTATCTTAATTGTCGGGAGCGAGCCAGAAATAAATCACATGGTGTCAGGGAAGTCAACTCTTTATTAGAAGATACAGGGTCTGCTCAGGGGTGCCAGCCACAGCAACTCTTCATGATATGGCTTACCCTTGGGAGACAGTTGTGGAGACTGAAGGGCCTTCCCACAGCTACCTAAGACTCCTCCTCTCCCAAGTCCTTCCTAAGCAATCTGAGACTATACCGACGTGCCTGCCTCTGCTCCTCTCATTTCATACCTCTCCAGTTCCTGGGAGACTGGGTGAGGAGGGGAGCTTGTTGCAGCTTATTCGCAAGCCTGACTAATCTCTGCCTATTGGCCTCACTCCTGCTTCTGGACTTCTGTCTGCCATAGACTCTCCCTGCTCACTAAACCCAGTTACCTCTAACTGACACCTCCTCCTCCCAGTCTGCTCCATCTTCTCCCTCTGACCACTCGTCGTTGTCCCACCACCAATTTCCAGGCTGTGAGCTTTCTTCCCTTGGAGGTTCCCTAGCTGATGCCTTGCACCGCTCAGCATCCGGCCAGTCCATGACATTGAGAGCAGGGAGGAGGAGCAGGGCTAAGAGGCTCCAGGGGTTAGCAGTGATCTCCCTGCATGGACATGGGACTGTGCAGATGCCCAGGGGTGCTGACCCATGGCCCTGGCCCTGAACATAAGATGTTATTCAGCTAAGTTTTACCTAGAGTAGACCCATTAACATTAATGAACATTGCTTAGCTCCATTAATTTCAGTGGTTCTACATTGAATAAAACTGAGTTAACTACGTACTGCCCATAATTGTAGGGATATATAATTGGAAATAATTTTTACCTCAGCCTGCACCCAGGGCATTTAAGTTTAGGGTTTGACATCTGAAAGGCTATCCTAGAACAAGCCACAAATTAGAACAAGCCCTCTGGAGGAGGGAAACTGAGAAGAGGGGGGTGCCAATGAATAATAGGGTTGTTTGTATAACATCGCTCTGAAGATCTGAAAGTCTGACTTGATGCGAGTGGGATGAAAGGGATGTAAGGGAGAAGAGAAGACACAAGCCGCATCGGCATGCAAGTAAGTCATGAGAAAAGGAGCCATGTGATTCTGCAATGAGGGGTGAAAGACAAAAAGACCTCCTTTCCTCTCTGACCTGCTTTAATAAATAAATAAATAAATGAACGGGCACAGTATAATTAGCATTTTCACATAGCGCATGTCATCATCACATGGCAGTTTGGAAATCCCTGCTTCCTTAATAGGTCTAAACTTGACTCAGAGATATCCACATAACTGAAGTTGCTTGGGATGAGGTTGCCAGTGGCTCTGTGCAAAGGAAAGCAAACTCCCTCCCCAACGGCAGATTGGTGACCCTTTCAGATTACACTGAATCATTTGGAGGGGCTGGGATTCCCACTCCTGTCGTGCAGCTTAACTCTGGAGTTATTACTTGAAACAAATAGAAGTGGATTGCTTGCGGACTGCGGTGCAAGAGACAGGCCGGGAAATGGTTTCCAGGAGACTGGGAGGCACAAACCGCAATGTGACTTGTGTGTTCTTTCGCCTGTGACAACACTCCAGGACAACTTGGCCAGATAATTTTGTCTTTAGGACACACAGTCTAGCTGCTCCCGAGTACAAGTGGATCAAAACGTTCTCTCTTCCCCTTAAATGAGGGTTCTGCTCATTTAAATAAGCTGTGTCCTGTACAAATTGGATTTGTTACGTGAATTACATCTCTGAATTTCTGAAGCTTTCTTGTGCTTCAGCCACAACAAACCACCTTCCCCCTCCACCCCACCCCCCCAAATCTGGAAGCTCAAAATAACAACAGATAAAAGCATTATACATGCAGGCAAAACATTACAAAATAGAAAGGAAAAGCACAATATTTAGGATGGCTGTGTGGGTTGCAGGACTGTGTTTCTCTCCCAGCCTTAGAAATGGAGACAACGTGGGGTGGGGGGAGAATACATAACAAGAAATAAAAATATCGATATTGTGGGCAGCTGGCAGAAATGACTAATGCAGCAAGTGGTAGCTTAGAAACAAAACGGAGGGATCTTTCGGAGCCTGTGGCATTTCACAGAGGGTGACTGTCGGATGCAAAGGTTGCCACAGTTTTCTACCTGAAGAAGTGGAATTTTCCTATGCTGGGTTTGTGACCCAGAGGCCCTTGCAGCTTTGGAAGCCGTTTTTTCAGATTTTTAAATTTTATTTTAAATACCTAATGCTTAAAAAAGGTTGTTTCAGAAGTTTGTGTTCTTTCTCACACACCTTACAGGCAAAAGATACCAGGTCCAACCCCCCAAATCTCCAGCCATGAGGATCTCAAGTAGTGTTTGATTAGACAGGCCTCTACCTGAGACCTTGGACAGCCACTGGCCAGTCAGAGTAGACAATACTGGCCTAGACAGACAAAACCCGAGCTTATATAAGGAAGCATTCTGTGATCATAGTCAACATGTGGGAGAATTCAAGAGAGAACTGAGTCACAAAGTGGGGTTTTTAATTAATTTGTGTTTTGACAAGGGTCCATCTTGTCAAATTCGCCTAGTTACAGTTTGCATGACTACACCCACTGAGAGCACATAGAAGGCAGCCTGGGATAGGGACTCAATGGTCTATTCACTGGGCCTCATCCTGTCAAGCCCTGGCAAATGTTATCTGTCCCGTACCGGGGACCAAAACCTAAGAAGGTGCCATTGTCTGGGTGGACATGAAATCCCAGAGAATTTACCTGAAGCCCCTGATGTTGTCAGGCTTTTCAGAACATTGTGGATTAAATTTGTAAGTCTTCTCATGTGCATTTCCCATTTTTTCTATTTACACACAATTTACCATCATACAAAGATTTCGTGGGTGCTTCCCAACCTTTACCTTCCATGGCATTCTTAACAAACCTAGCTTATGCTGCATATCAGTATAAAACCCCTCCCTAGTTTTCTCATTGTAATTCAGGGGTAGGCAACCTAAGGCCCGGGGGCCGGATGTGGCCCAATTGCCTTCTTAATCCAGCCCACGGAGGGTCCAGGAATCAGCATGTTTTTACATGAGTAGAATGTGTCCTTTTATTTAAAATGCATCTCTGGGTTATTTGTGGGGCTTGCTTGGTGTTTTTACATTAGTAGAATGTGTGCTTTTATTTAAAATGCATCTCTGGGTTATTTGTGGGGCTTGCTTGGTGTTTTTACATGAGTAGAATGTGTGCTTTTATTTAAAAGGAATCTCTGGGTTATTTGTGGGGCATAGGAATTTGTTCATCCCCCCCCCCAAAAAAAATATAGTCTGGCCCCCCCTTAAGGTCTGAGGGACGGTGGACCGGCCCCCTGCTGAAAAATTTGCTCACCCGTTGTAATTCTTAGTTGTTTAACTGTTGTTTATAGAATTACTCCACTTGCAGATTGGTTTTAGTATCATATTTTTAAAAGTATTCCCCAAAACTATCCCATTCACCCTCATGTCATTTTTATTGGGTGTAGACAGGGCTTTTTTTCAGACGGAACTCTCTGGAACTCAGTTCCATCCCCTCTCAGGTGGGCACCATTGCCATTATAAGAGAACAGGGGAGGTGTTCATGGTGAGTTCTGGCACCTCTTTTCCTAGAAAAATAGCACTGGATGCAAAGATCCATGGTAAGAATTATATTGAGAAAATGGAACCACCCAAAGTAAAAAGTATACAAAAAGTTATATTCTGGCAGTACCCACCAGCTTTATCAAATTACCAGAAAGCATTCATTGTTGTTGGCATTATTATTATTATTGTTACTACACTTTTCAACTATTTAGTTTCTTCTTTTTCTTCATCTTTCTAGTAAAAAGAGATCAGCATACAAAGAGATCAAAATAACTTTAAAGGGTTAGCCTTCTTTTAACCTGAAGAAAGGAGAACTGCTAGATTTCCTTTTCAGTCAGTCAGTCAGTGATTTCATTTTGCTCTTTGGTATGAGCTTCATGTGAACAGCCCACCCATGCTTGACTCGGTGCCCCCTCCCCACACACAAAGCATTGAATAACTGCAGTACTGTGGACCATTGCGAACCACACAGATCTCAGATTTGAAATTAAAATCTTTATGACAAGACGGAATGCTGTTCTTCAGTTGCAGCAACGAGATCCATCACACTTTGGGGGGGGGGGGATGGTTCACGAAAGCCTTTGGGGTTTTAAAAAATTATTATTATTTTGCACTGCTTCAAAGCTGCCGATTTCGTGTGAAGTGATCCCATTTTGACCTCTGCGGTCTACCATAAGCCAGCCATGTATAATAACAGTGGGAAATCTATGCAGTTGCAGTGAGGGAGGGAGGGGGAAGAGGCATAAGCTGCTGCCAAGTGGAAGGTTTTCCTTAAGTTTCTGAGCCCATCAGCTGACTGGTCACACACAGTACAGAATACTTCTGAGCATGTAGCTTTGAATGGAACTGATCGGGGGTGTCCGATTATTAGGTTCCTGGGGTATATGGACAGCCCATATTTAGAAAGGCAATTGGGGTATTCCCTATCTGGTCAAGAGCCTTTTTTCCTAGGCTTCAGAATTCAATGCAGCTGACCATTCAGAGAGTCCCCATAATCTCCTTTATTGAGTAGAGGGTACAGACTGAGGTGGGCTAGAAAAATGGCTGTCTGGCCTGTGCCCCCTCCCCAGCAGAGGAGATTTTTGTACAAATTTAGTAATAAATTGACCTTTTGAAATAGGCCACCTCCTCAATTCATCTATGTTTTTTTACAACTATTGGAAACAAGGGTTTGAAAAGTGCAGGGAGCTTCCACAAATACAAGCTGGAAAAGTGAGGGGGGTTGGGTCATTGTGGCTTTACCATACTTAATGCCAACAACCCCCTCCCTCGTGAGGTCTACGAATCTACGGCACAATCAAACAATTACAGACAGTAACAATGTATATTTAGAAACAGCAAAGGTAAAGGGACCCTTGACCATTAGGTCCAGTTGTGGCCGACTCTGGGGTTGCTGCGCTCATCTCGCTTTATTGGCCGAGGGAGCCGGATTACAGCTTCCGGGTCATGTGGCCAGCATGACTAAGCTGCTTCTGGCAAACCAGAGCAGCACACAGAAATGCCGTTTACCTTCCGGCCAGAGTGGTACCTATTTATCTACTTGCACTTTGACGTGCTTTCGAACTGCTAGGTTGGCAGGAGCAGGGACTGAGCAACAGGAGCTCACCCTGTCGCAGGGATTCGAACTGCCGACCTTCTGATCGGCAAGTCCTAGGCTCTGTGGTTTAACCCACAGCACCACCTGCGTTTAGAGACAGTAGCATGAATATATTTTATACTTATTTCAAAGTCCCCAAAATAACATTGTAGGTGATCAGAGAGATCAAAACAAGAACAAACGAACACAATGAGAGTGAAGAGAGAAGAGATGATGAAATATATGGACAGACTCAGTGAACCAGAAACAATTAAATTGTTTTTAAGGAATTGCCTCTAAACTCTGCTTTACCTTGTTTGCACACGCCTCTTTGTTAAGAAGGCATTGAACAAAGTAAACAGACTTTTTGTAAGGATAACAAAACACATTTGTTTGCTAAGCTCATGGGGGTTCTTTCCATGATTTTTCCTGCATTTGGTGACTCACTAAAAACGACAGGTAAGTATTGGGTGGGAAATCCGGTCACTTGTTAAAAGGTTCCTGAGGGTTACCTGGTATCTGATGAAAACTGCCATGCCAAAACCAAATGGTACTTTGGAAAGTATAAAACGATCACATGCCTCATGTATAAAAGAGGAAGCCTCGGCCTCAGAATTTCACTGCATTTTCTATTTCAGATAATAAACAGGATGGTGTTGTGAACTTTAATTTCACAAATCTGTTGATAACTGTCAGAAACCAGAGGCTGGGCTGGATATCATATGCCTGTCAAAATATCAGAGCAGCTCACTGGTGATATTGACTATTCATATGAAAAACAAAGTCAACATTCACCGTGAAGTAAATTTCTGGTTGCTGCTGGTTCTTCATGCCTATATAGGTAGTCTAGGAGCATTCAAAAATAACCAGGACTTTGTGTGTATTCCTTTTTCCACACTTGGCTTTTCAATCCAGTTTTGTTTTGTTTTGAAATCTTATTTATTTAATCTCCCATAATAAGATAGGTATATATACATATTTGTAACCAAAAAGAGAGAGAGGAAACAATCACTTAAAAAAAAAAAACAGAAGAAGGAAAGAAAAAGAATCACCAACAATTACCCTATGGGGAGGGGAGTTGCTGTGGGAACAAGTTAAGGCTTTTTCAGTTTTGTCCAGTTTATGCAGGTCCAGAGTCCAATGTTTCGTTATCAGGCTTGGCAGCTACCTATCTATGAAGCATTCCCAATGATAGCATCTCCTACCAGCGAAAGACAGGACAGGTGGCCCATTTGTCTTTACTTCTCCGTTTTGGCCGAAGTTTTGTTCGAACCATTCCGTTCTGATCGTGTTTTCTTGCAAGGAAGACACGAGACTTTCTTCTTCGTGAAGTGCATAAGTAAAATACGGGAAGCACTTCCTCAAATGCGGCCATAGCCAGCAAGATGAAAAGGTAAAGGGACCCAAGGCTCTTAATTTGGAGAATTTCTTGGCGGGGATTAGGCTACGAATGGCCGCTAGCCATGATGGCTGTATATATCTTTGTGTGCATAGCCAGCATTTATTGGGGGCAGGCTTAATTTTTTGGGGGGTGGGGACAGGACAGAGTTACCTGCGGTGCAATTGGTTAGTTTAAATATTTTTATTTATTTGCTTGATTTAGAGGGGCAGCTGCCACCCCTGCCCCCCCCAATCCCAGCTACGCCCATGATGAGCCTGGGAGTCCCTTTCCAACTCAACAATTATGATGTAAAATGGGCGGACTGCCGAGCCCGACCAGAAAACTCCGCGGGCCTTCCGACCCTCCCCATTCCCCCGCACCCCCCCCCCTTTTCGGGCTCCCTTCCAAGGCGCTCCTGGGAGTGGAGATCACGCTGCTCTCTCCGCCCGCGGGAGGCCTGGCCATTCCCAGGCGCGCACGTGCTGCCGCGTCCCGATCCGGAGCCCGAGAGCCGGCGCGCTCTTCTCCCTCGGCGACCCCCCTAGCCCCTGTCCCTCCGCCTCGCTCCGTTCATGAGAGCTGCAGGCGGGATCCGGAGAGGGGCCTCCGAGGGAAGCCGGGCAGGGCGAGCGAGCCGCCATGGAAGAGCTGGCCCAGCGCCCCCCGCCGCCCGCCGCCAGCCCTGCCCACCCGGTAAGCCGCGCGTCTTCTTGGGATCCTAGGAAGTTTTCTTAATTTCCCCTCGCCTTTCACCTGGTCCGTGGGGTAGGAAAGCAAACTCTCTTTAAAAACACAACCTCGCTTATTTCTTAGAATCATAAGAGCTGGAAGAATTTATTCAGCCCCCTGCCATGCAAGAATAGCATGGGAATCGAACCCGTGATCAGCGCCGCACTCTAACCATCTGAGCTCGCCATAACTTGTCCGCTCAAGCCACCGGAGCCTGTCTTTGCATGCCAAAAAAGTCTGTAACTCCTCGAGGGTTTGAGACCCATTGGCTCCCTTCACCTGGTTTAGCCACCTAGTCAAAGTTCTTTCCTGGGGTCAAAACAAAAAAAATTCCTTCCAGTAGCACCTTAAAGACCAACTAAGTTAGTTCTTGGTATGAGCTTTCGTGTGCATGCACACTTCTTCAGATACACTGAAACAGAAGTTGCCAGATCCTTCTATATAGTGAGAAGGTGGGGAGGGGTATTACTCAGAAGGGTGGTGGGAATGGGTGATTGGCAGATAGCTGTGATGAGCCTGTTGACGACTCTTAACGACTGCAATAGGTCTTACAGGAAAAAGCAAGGGGTGAGAAGGTGAAACATGGCTTTGTCATGTATAATGAGATAAGAATCCAATGTCTTTGTTCAGACCAGGTCTCTCCATGGTTTGTTAGGGGAGGGGTAGTACCTCTGGTGGGGGACATGTCTGGGGTAGTTTGTCCACCTTTGGCCCCCACCCTGCACTCAGCTCTCACCTGAGGCTCCTAGAAGCTGTCAGCGTGTGACAGTGGCCACCCTCCAACCTATAACTAAGATAAATCACAATTGTATATTTATATAATGTTACGCAGATATGGCCTGCATGGGGAGAAGGAGTATTGTGATAACAAAATGTTTCTGGTAACTGACAGTCAGGTGGTGGGTGCCCAGCTCTCCTTAGATTTTAAAGGACGCCCTTTGCTGCTCAGATATACCACCTTGCGAAGCACATTGGACTTACAGCACAATCCTGTGCGAGTTTACTCAGAAGAAATTAGTTGAGCTACCATCTGATGGGGCTAGTAAGTGTGTTTAGGATTGAATCGTTAAAGCAATTAAAGTGAAGGTTTAAAAGTACCTGCCCTAGGATCTTAGGGTAAAGGGCAGGAAACAACTAACTTTCATTTGTGCCCAAATTTCAAAAACACTTAAAAACCAATATACTTTCAAAATCTAGTCCTTATTCTGATGCATACAAAATGTCAGCCTGGATAGCTCAGGTGGTTAGAGCTTGGTGCTGATAACATCAAGGTTGCAGGTTCGATCCCTGTATGGGACAGCTGCAAGGTAAAGTCCAGTCAAAGGCGGCTATGGGGTTGCAGCGCTCATCTCGCTTTCAGGCCGAGGGAGCTGGTGTTTGTCCACAGAAAGTGTTCCGGGTCATGTGGCCAGCATGGAGGACCATGACAAGTGCCAGAGCGCATGGAAACGCCATTTACCATCCTGCCACAGCGGTACCTATTTATCTACTTCCACTGGCATGCTTTCAAACTGCTAGGTTGGCAGGAGCTGGGACAGAGCAACAGGAGCCCACCCCGTCGTGGGGATTTGAACCGCTGACCTTCCGATCAGCAAGCTCAGTGGTTTAGACCACAGCGCCACCCGCAATGTATATTGCTGCATTGCAGATGGTTGGATGAGATTATCCTCAAGGTCCCTTCCAACTCTATGATTCTATGACTGCCAAGATTTTCCATGTCACTTGGTATGTGTTTGTTTTAGGGAGGAAGGGAAGCCCTTCCAGAACCAAATCCTTGTATTTTTAGTTATGTGAAATGATTTTTAAAAAATGTGGTGGTTGTTTTTTTTAAGTGAATATATTTTAGACTGACATCAATGCTACTTTATTGAAATAGGAGGAACTGGATGAAACAACAACCCTGGTTTGTAAACCGAGAAACAAAGGAGGAACTAGCAACCTCTCATCAGCTGCTTTTAATGTCATCAACTCTATCATAGGATCTGGTATGATAGGTAAATGCATCAGTTTATTATTCATTCCAGTTAATTACTATAAATTTCACTCCAGTTTATTATTTTGTTGGACTTACTATCAATCATATTTTTGGGGGTTGTAATTTTATTACAGTAGTGCAGATTAATGTCGATCAAGATCAGGGATTCCAATGGGCTGTTTATATATTTAACATTTGACTTTTTCAGCGGCTTGCTTTACATGACACAGTAAGCCATAGTACAGCTTCCTGGGACCTTGCAAATATGTGGATGTACAGATAGGAACTCGCAGCCACTTCCTTCCAGATTCAGGAGCCGATGGCATGAGCTTCCTGTGGCTTGGGCTTCCTCAGATCTTAAGTAGCCCCTGGGAAGATGGGAGAGGAGCTGGAAGCATCAATAAGTGGCAAGAACTTGTGGGGGGACCTCCAATCTAATTTGTTTGTTTGCATCGTTTCACAGGCCTGCCCTATTCTCTGAAGCAAGCTGGATTTCCATTGGGAATACTGTTGTTGTTGGCCGTTGCTTATATCACAGGTATTGCCTTAAAAGTGGCCGTTGTCATTCAGTAGAGAGAGAGGTCCAGGAATTAAAATGGGCAGAATGTGCAAAATGTCTTCATTCATACTAGAAGTCCTAAATTAGGCATTCTTCTCTCCACGCAAGCGACTCTGCTTGGAGAGAGAGCCCCTCTGTGGTGTCCCCAACATGCTCTGCCCCCCCCTCACCGTCCACACATTGGGGGAAGGTCTGAAGGGGAAATTTTAGGTGCATGTGGGCTAGCCCTATGGGCTCCATTTCTGCGGAATCCAGCTTTCAGCTCACAGGAACAGACTGTATGCATTAGGTAGCTTTCTGCCCTTCATATCTTCCCCAATGTGTTGGCAGCATATGGGTGGGGCAGTCAGGGGACACAACAGTAGGGCAGGGCTTGCCTATAGAGCCCCACTGTCTCTCCATGCAGTGTTACTCAAGTGTCACACTGGGACGCGGGTGGCGCTGGTGGTCTAAACCACTGAGCCTCTTGGGCTTGCCGATCAGAAGGTCGGCAGTTCGAATCCCTGCAACAGAGTGAGCTCCTGTTGCTCTGTCCCAGCTCCTGCCAACCTAGCAGTTCGAAAGCACGCTAGTGCAAGTAGATAAATAGGTACTGCTGTGGCAGGAAGGTAAATGGCGTTCCATTGTGCCAGAAGCGGTTTAGTCATGCTGGCCACATGACCCGGAAAGCTGTCTGTGGACAAACACCGTCTCCCTCGGCCTGAAAGTGAGATGAGCGCCACAACTCTATAGTCGCCCTTTGACTGCACTTAACCGTCCAGGGGTCCTTTACCTTTATGCAAGTGTACAGGAAAAACGCTTAATCTACTGAGGTGGTTTTTAAAAGTAGAGCACTGTGCTGCATTGGATGTCCTTTCCTATGTGATATTAGGATACCACGAAAGAAGGCAGGGCTCAGAGAGGATCTTCCTAGTGAATGGAACAATGGCTTGCTGGAACAGGAACAAGAGATGATTGCAAGCATTTCCATCCACCTTTCACATAGCCTAGTGCAGAGGACACTAAACCAGGGTTTCCCAAACTGGGGGCCTCTAGCTGTTTTTGGGCTATAACGCCCAACATCCATAGCTAGCAGGACCAGTGCTCAGGGATGATGGGAACTGTAGTTCAAAAGCAGCTGGGAAACCCCGCTCTAAAGCATAGTTTCCCCTGTGAACTAGGATTGCAAATAGGATCAAACTGTGGTTTGCAGTTCTGGTTTGTAGAGAGCAGTTAAACCACGGAATCTCTGTTGTAGAGAATCAGTTAAGGACACAATGCAATTCATAGTGTGCAACTAATCTTGCATTTGTGGAAAAAAAACTCTATTCTACCCATTATAACAGAAAATGCCAATCTATTACACATCAGTTCCATGTGCTTTGCTGACTTACTATATTCCCTTATTAATCCTTGTGAACAAAGTTTAAAACTATATGTGACTCTATCTAGGTGCAGTGGCAAATTAGAGTCAGGGAGACCCATGTTCAAATCCCTACTCACTGAGCGATCAGGGGCCATTAAATGTCTCTCAGCCTCATCAACCTCACAGAGTTGTTGTGAGGATGAAATGGGCTGGGAGAGATTCGTTTAAAAAATAATTTGTACTAAAGCTTGTACCCTAGCCATGCTAGCAGACCTCAGGGCAGCCCATTTGCTCCTATATCCTGCTGCTTACATGGGCACGAACTGGGCTGCTAGTTAACAGCACTGGAAGGAGCCTGTGACTCTGGAGATGGATATGGAATGCTAATTGACACCACCCAATGCAGCCTGCGAGGGCACATGTGGATTGAAAGAATGATCCACTGGCCTGGCAGTAACAGGGATCAAAGGCAGCTCTCCTTGCCTGACCTACAAAATAAATAGGTCAGCTCTCTGGAAATAATTGCAGAAGAGATCTCTAGCAATGCCTCCCCTAATGGACACTGGAGATGTAGTTGTGTTACCAAGACATTTTTCTTTGGCTTCCCGCAGGTTTTGTGTAAGATCTCCTTTCCCCTGTTATTCTGTGTTCCCAGGTATTCTCCATGGTGACTTCTTTCAGTCTGATTTAAAAATTAAAAATAAAAAAATCAAGAGCATAATGCATGAGAAATTGATCCCAAAGAGATTGTTTTTAATAGAATGCTTCTTGTTCTCCTCAACAGATTATTCTATTATCCTGTTGATTAAAGGAGGGAACCTGTCTGGAACCAACAGCTACCAGGCTCTGGTCAATAAAGCATTTGGTTTTGTAGGGTACCTAATTCTCTCAGCTCTCCAGTTCTTATACCCTTTCATTGGTAAGGTCCCCTTGCAGATGCATTAAAGAACAATGCCTTTTTGCAGTCTATAAAAGAAGAAGACTGGAAGCCCCTGTGGTGTAGTGGTTAGGGTGTTGGACTAGGACCTGGGAAACCAGGGTTCAAATCCCCACTTGGCCATGAAGCTCTCACTGAGTGACTTTAGGTCAAGTCACTGTCTCTTAGCCTAACCTACCTCACAGGGTTGTTGTAGGGATTAAATGAGGAAGGAGAAAACCATGTACACCCCATGTACACCACCTTGAGTTCCTTGGAGGAAAAAGTGGGATGTAAATGAAATACATAAATTAAATTGGTCCAGGCTTAGCTTTTGATCTTCCCCTTTGTTTGGTTGGAACCCTGGATGGTGAAAGAGGGGCTCTTAACAGCGCCCCCATGGACTGATAATGTGCATGAGAGGGGTTGTGGGGTCACCAGACTTGGGGTCAAGAGGTGAGGCCTCCTTGTGTGGCCCTAGAAGCCCCTCATACAGACACAGTGGGGGCAGGTGCGCTTTGGGTCTGATAGAGCAGGTGACAGTAGACGGGACCAGAGCCAATGGCAGGCAGGGCCAACACAATCTAGTGTTGCTTCCATCCTCCTTTGCTGAGCTGTACAGGGGCATCAGTGAGAAGGAGGAGGAGGAGTAAGGAAGAGGCTGGTTTTAAGGAAGAAGGCAGGCAGGCTTCCTGTTTTGAAATGAGCCCCATCAAGTTTGGTGGTTAAATTTGCCTAAAAGTATTGAACATAAAATACATTACATGTTCGGAGAAGGCATAGTTTTTCACTGACACAGTTTTGTTCCGCATAGTGTATGCTTAGGTTTCGTTTTATGTTTTCAAAGCGTTATTAACGAAGTAGCTTCTTCTTTTAAAGCCATGATTAGTTACAACATTATAACAGGAGACACTTTGACTAAAGTCTTCCAAAGAATTCCTGGCGGTGAGTCGATCAGTTTTTGTTCTTCCTGATTAATAAATGTTTTTACTTAACTTGTTAGGAAAGTTGATCAAAATATTTGCCCACGGATTGAATATTGTAAAGGGCTGTGACACTCACCATAAGTTATGCATACTTTTTTATTTTCTTGGTATATCTTGGGGGTTCAGATTTTGGTACAGTGGTACCTCGGTTTATGAACTTAATCCATTCCGGAAGTCCATTCTTAAACTGAAACCTTTCTTAAACCAAGGCGCGCTTTCCCTAATGAGGCCTCCCACCGCCAGTGCCCTTCCACCATTCGGATTCCATTCTTAGACCGAGGTAAAGTTTGCAACCCGTGATACTATTTCCGGTTTTGCGCAGTTCGTAAACCAAATCGTTCATAAACAGGTCTGTTCTTAAACCGAGGTACCACTGTATCTGATATATAACCTGACATTCTGTACATTATGTATTGGTGTAATCCTGTAATGTTTTCTTAAAAGTAATCCTCACTGAGTCCAATGAGGTATACTCCAGTGACACGGGATTGCAGACTGAGTTTTTGTAATATAACTCCTTAGCATAAATGTTGTTGGCAAGTATTTTGAGGTGCTTTGTCCTAAATACTGTTGGTGCTATATAAATATTCCAAAAATCGCACATTTTTTGTTCCCCTCCTACCTGTCCTCATTTCATAAACAGATTTTTTAGACACTCAACACATTAAAAAATCATGTACATTTCACATTTAATGAGCAACCTAACATTCATTTCTTACAGAAATATGCATCTTAACATTTCTCTTTCTCTTTTTTTAAGCAGTCGATCAAGACAATTTGCTCATTGGTCGCCATGTCATTATTCTCTGTGTCACCATCATCTTCACCCTTCCTCTTTCCCTCTTTCGAAATATATCAAAATTGGGGAAGGTAAATCATTACTGTATAGAAATTAACTTCTCGATTTGGTTAAGAATTAAAATAGCGTCAGATCAAACTTCTTCAACCTAGTGCTCTCTGAGGTGTTTTGGGCCACATCAGCCCTGACCAGCATGGTCAGTTGCCAGGGACGATGGGAATTGTAGTCAAAAGCATCTGAGGGAGGAACCAAGTTGGGGAGGTTGACCTTGGTTGATAACTGGGGTAAGAGTTTTAACACACGGGAGGAGAAAAAGATTGAACAGACACATTATGTCAGGCATAGGCAAACTCGGTCCTCCAGATGTTTTGGGACTACAACTCCCATCATCCCTGACGACTGGTCCTGATAGCTAGGGATGATGGGAGTTGTAGTCCCAAAACATCTGGAGGGCTGAGTTTGCCTATGCCTGCATTATGTGTTTTGAGGGTTATCAAAATGTGTCACATGGTACGACATTGCAGCATGGAAGGTATCCTCGGTGTAGGAATAAATGTGATAGCCATAGGTAGATGAACATGGCTTAAAGGCCCATCATGCAGCCTCCTTATTGAAGCTAAGTTGGTCCTAATATACTTTCTCTTTTGCCTTTCCCCCTCTTTGTATATACATTTTGAATGACAGGTCTTTTAATTATACTGGCCTGTCACCCATGGAAATGTCCGTTCTCTCTTCTTTGACAAACAAGATTATGCTTTTGGAAATTCTAAAATGTTTGACCACTAATGGGCATAATCGGCTAATGCTTTTATTGTTATTCACAGGTATCATTGGTTTCTCTGATTTTAACCATCCTCATCCTGGTGTTTGGGATTATAAGGGCAATCACATTTAGTGCACAGGTGTAAGTAATCTTGTCATTTCTCGTTCTCCATAATCTCTCTGGGAGAAATAAAGGTCACGGTGAGAGGCAGTTGGTGCTTTGTAAGAGAGCTGGATCCAGCTTGAGGGAGAGCTGAGTTTGCATGTTTTGTTTTAAGATGCAAAAGAAGGCCTCTTGTGGCAGTAAACCCAAATTGCAGGAAAGTTGCAGCACGGCAACATCACTTTGAATTACGCTTGGTGATTTGGTGAATCACGGTAGTGATGGAAAGGGCCTTTTCTGATTTTTTCGGCCCACACAGCTGCCATTTTGATCGGTGTTCACAATAAAAATGGCTGGGGGGAAATCCAAACCCACTGAAACAATACAGAAAGAGAAGATGACAGGGAAAATAATGCCGCCTAGTCATAGGATATGTCATTGGTGCTCTCCAGAAAATATCACTTGACAATGAGACAAAGAATCTATTCAGATGTAATGCAGCTGCTCCATCAAGCAATGGTTTGTTGGTGGTAAATGAGCAGTGAGTTCAGGTGGTGCTGACACTATGACAAAGAAATGAGCTTGAGTGCCCCCACCTCCTCTTGTGCTACAGACTTAAGAGGGTGACTTCTTGGCTCCTTAGTCAGTTTCCCATGATGCCTGAACTGAAACCAGTAGTGTAGACATAGGGAACTGCAGCTCAAGTACATTTTTCTTTTTCAGAGCTAGCACACCAGGATAATCGACAAACTGACCTTGCTTTGGCACTTTTATCTAGCTCCAAGGGCCTTCTGGTGGTTCCCTCACTGCAAGAAGTGAGGGTACAGGGAACCAGGCAGAGGGCCTTCTCAGTAGCGGCACCCACCCTGTGGAACGCCCTCCCACCAGATGTCAAGGAAATAAACAACTACCTGACTTTTAGAAGACATCTGAAGGCAGCCCTGTTTAGGGAAGTTTTTATTGTTTAATGTTTTATTATGTTTTTATATATGCTGGAAGCTGCCCTGAGTGGCTGGGGCAACCCAATCAGATGGGCAGGGTACAAATAATACAATTATTATTGTTGTTATAGGGATATAAGGAGGCTTCCAAGTTTGTTTGTGACTGATTAGTGAAGCTAAGGGATGAGGGAAATAGCCATGCAGAGGCTGGGTATTACTCACCTTTTCTTTAATAGAGTGCCTACTTTACACTAGCCGTTTAAAGAGTAACCCTATGAGATTGTAACCCTAACTAAAAGGTGAAAGTTGTGTTTCAGAGGGCTGAAGGTCAAAGCTTGGTATAGTTTGCAAGTTGAACCTTACAAACCTTCTGAGTTCACTGGAGCTTATTCCCAGGAAACTAGAACTGCAGTCATATTGAGCCTAATAAACTGGGCATTAGCAGATTCAAACTGTTGCTTGCATTTTTGGGCTCTAGTTGGGAATATGGCTATGGGAGCAGCCATGATGAACTTTTTCCACTTAGGAAGCTGTCTAATAGTAAATCAGCTCAGTATTGTCTACCTTGCCTGGCAGTGTCTCTCTGTGATTCTGTGTCTCTATGGGTCTCTCCCAAGCCTACCTGAAGATACCAGGGATTTAACCTGGAGCTTTTTGCAGGCAAAGCAGATGATCTTCCACTGACCGATGGTCTTTCCGAAATTTAAAATTTCAAAATTGCCATTGCATCACATAATGGAAAAGTTAAAATTGCATGTGTTATTTATGAAATGGGGTGGGGTAGGAGGAAATGCCTCCTTTTGTTTCTATTATATTTAAACTTTTTTTCAGTGTTCTGTAGTTTCCTGACAGAAGAATTTCTTTTCTCACACCAGCCATGACCAGCAAAGGGGGTGAGGGACAAATGTCTTATGTTTGGGTCCCTGTGGTTACTTGAAAGAACGACATTTTTCACATACTTAAGGTGCTTTTCTTTCACATCAATTAGTCACAGAAGAGTTAAGACCTTTATTAGGGCATATTAAAATGGAGGGATTGAACTTTCAAAATTACCAGAACTCTTCTTACAACTAGAATGCTACACAGTAAAACATGGAAGGAGAGAAAGGGTTCCAAACGCCTTTGAAAAGCTGACCCTTTGTAATATTTTTAGTAGGTCCTAATAACTTTTGAGTTATTTTTCTCATGGACATAACAGCTGCCTAGGAGAGTGTCTTTGTGTGATAGTTAATAAGGTAGTCAGCCTTAATTCCTGTTTCAGAAAAGCAGTTATACGGATGCTTAATTCTGGCGATATTTCAGCACTTTGCTTCTATTTCCTCTTGAAAGACAATGGAAATGCACACATGTATAAGGATTGCCTTAGGAGCATTGTCAGGAACAGAGCAGAATGCATCCTGTCTGGCCTGGAAACGTATATGGGTGGGAATATTGCAAATTACACACACACACACACACACACACACACTCCCCACAAATAAGCAAAGAAACACATTTCAATCCCTTGCCATTGTGTTGCTTTGAGGCAGTAAAGAGGGCCATAAATGGCACTAGCATTTATTTCCAAAGCTGGAATAATCTGCAGCATAACTGCTAATTATTTATAAAAGAAAAGGTGGTGGCTAAGGAGCTCTGCAGGTTCTGATTGATACTTGAGAAGAGTATTGGATGTCAAAAGAAACTCTTTCTGGAGTAGGGGGAGCTTCATAGAACTGGCAAGAGTAAAAAACCTGAAGTTGCATCTTCCAAGGTAAATGGTGCTTGGAAAAGCTAATTTGTCTGCGGCAGAGATAAAGCCTGACAGCTGGGCGCTGTCCTCTGGCCTGGCAGCTGTGTCCTGCTGCTGCTTTGCAGTTCACTGAAAGTGCAGCGGCTGAGACAGCAGGTGGCAGCAGCCTCCCCTGTCAAGAGAGATGAGAACTGAAGCCCCTGACTATTGAAGGTGGGCGTTCTGCCCTCTGGCAATGTTTTTATCTCATTTTATTGCACTCCTGTTTGAAGGCAACTGTGTACAGTCGTACCTCGGAAGTCGAACAGAATCCGTTCTGGAAGTCTGTTCAACCTCCGAAACGTTCGATTTCCAAAGCACGGCTTCTGATTGGCTACAGGAAGCTCTTGCAGCCAATTGGAAACTTCGGAAGCCCCGTCGGACGTTCGAAAACCGGAACATTCAACTTCTTGTTTTTGATCGTTCGGGACCCAGAACATTCAACTCCCAAGGCGTTTGGGAACCGAGGTACGACTGTACTTGCAGAATTATATTTGAAGACGCTGTGTATTTTGGGAAATAAGGGAATAATGGAAAGGTGGCGTTCTCTAACCCCCTGCCCCCTGCTGGCAAGGAGCAGGATTACTTGAGAGGAGGGATCTTTTGGCCCAGTCAAATTTTGAAAAGTCAGTGCCAGCTCCCTCTTCTCGAGGTTCATCTGATCTGCTTCCAAATTCAAAGTGGTTTAAGTTCAGAAATGCACAAATGGCAGGCTGTGCAAATATTTGTTTGCTGTATTGCAGTTCACAGTCCCAAGCAAAGAGCTTTAACTGTGATGCTGTTTGCTTTGGAACTTGAATTGCTTCTCCCGTGCACGGGCTTCGGTCTGTAACATCATGTAAGGCAGTGTTTCCCAACCTTGTGCCTCCAGCTGTTTTTGGCCTACAATTCCCATCATCCCTTGCCACTGGTCTTGCTAGTCAGGGATGATGGGAGTTGTAGGCCAAAAACATCTGGAGGCACAAGGTTGGGAAACACTGATGTAAGGGTATAGAGCTGGCATGGTGTAGTGGTTAGAGTGTTGGACTAGGACCTGGGAGACCAGGGTTCAAATCCCCACTCAGCCATGAAGCCCGCTGAGCGACCTTGGGCTGTCAATCACTCTTAGCTTAACCTACCTCACAGGGTTGTTGTGACGATAAAAATGGGAGGAGGAGAACCCTGGTCTCCTTAGAGGAGGAGGAGGAGGAGAAGAGGAGGAGGAGGAGTTTGGATTTGATATCCCGCTTTATCACTACCCGAAGGAGTCTCAAAGCGGCTAACATTCTCCTTCCCCTTCCTCCCCCACAACAAACACTCTGTGAGGTGAGTGGGGCTGAGAGACTTCAAAGAAGTGTGACTGGCCCAAGGTCACCCAGCAGCTGCAGGTGGAGGAGCGGGGAAGCGAACCCGGCTCACCAGATTACGAGACTACCACTCTTAACCACTACACCACAAATATAATTAATATATATATTTCTATATATATATATATAAAAGTATATAATGATGCATGGAAGGGCTTTTCCCAGGCAGCAATTGTACACAGATTTACTCAGAAGGAAGCCAGTGGTCAGTTCAAATAAGTTTGTTTAGGATTTCAGCCTGAGAGAGCCAGGGACTACAAATCCAATTGAGCCTCTCCTATCTCACTGCACCCTTTGTTGCTGTCATTTTCTCTCTTAGTTAGAACATAGTTTGTCAGCGTTGATTTGCAGCACTGAAGGTAAGAGACCCTAGGCTATTGTGCCCCCATTGCCCTCCTCAAGGGGCCCGAGGCAGGTTAAACCGAGCACAGACAAGTCCAGAAAGCTGCAGGTAGACTGAGATGTGAAAGCTTTGCTGTCGCTAACTATATTTCTGCTTAACAAGAAAACAGCTGGATGGCTGCAAGGCGGCAGAAGGGGGGAGCCTTTTTACTTTCCGTTTCATAAAAAAATCTCTTCAGTGTTTGTGCTTCAATTGACATGAGATTCCTGTGTTGCAGGGTCTTGGACTAGTTGACCCTCAGGGTTCCTTCCCACTCTACAGTTCTGTGGTTCTGTGACTACCCTGGCAGTTTGTTTAGAGCAAGAGTGGCTAGCATGTTGCTGGGGGGAAAGCCCCCGTGACCCCTGACCAAGCTGGATGGGGGTTGGAGTCAGTCCAACAGTTGCTCAGCCACAGGTTCCCTACTTCTGACCTTCAGATTTTGCTTTTTTTAAAAAAAGAATTATTCCTGGTGGAAGTGGCAACCTCTCAAATGCTGCTTTCTTTTCCAGAACCCAAACAGAAAATCCGTGGGTGTTTGCGAAGCCCAATGCAGCCCAAGCCATCGGGGTGATGTCATTTGGTATGTGCCATGTTTGGCGGCATTTCTTTAATATCTGCAGCGCATGTAGCACCCTCAGGTTCCCTTTGCATTAGTGAGATTCTTACTCTTCTATATTTTTTATTTTTCTTTCGAATGTTTTATTTTAAGTATTGATGGATTTGTGGGAAATGTCGAGCAGGGGCAGTTAACCTGTGGCCTTCTAGATGTTGTTGGACTCCATTTCCCATCATCCTCAGCCAACACAGCTGATGGCCAGGGATGATGGGAACCATATTCCAACAACATCTGGAGTACTGCCCTTTTGCTATCCCTTTGAGCTACCCACCTGATCACCATATTTGCTGGAATAATCCGGGTCTGGTTTTGTAACGTACAAAGATAACCTTCGACCAGATTTGTCCTTTGTCTTTGTGTTAGGGCAAAACGGGTCTGAATTATTACACCCTTTCTTCCACTGATCAGACCAACTTTCTTCCCATTTTCTTCTTTCCCTTTGTGCTACTCTTCTAACGAGATTCCCTAAAGCGCTTGTTAAATTTGTTTCTTCTAACTGTCCAATAGGGCTGGGCGATAATCTTGTTTTCAGCTTTGTGATACATCACCAGTTAAACATTGCAATATACTGATAAATCACAATGCCTGAAATAAGGATGGAGCTATGTAGAAGCATTGGCTGGCTTCATGGTTTTCCGCACATGGTGATTTTGGTATAGCCTGTGCACACACACATACATCATGATTCACAATATGTTGCCAGGTCAAAAATTATGAAACTGATACCACGATACGAATTTCAAACCAGTTTTGGATGATATATCAATAGATCACCCAGCCCTGCTGTGCAACATTTCTGTAGTGGGAGCATTGAGGGAAGATAAATGCCACGTCCTACAGACATTTCCATCTGTACAGATTTTGGGAGTTAGGGAATTCCTTAGAGAGTGTTCAGGAAGGCGTTCTTGCTCCCAGAGGTCACCACAGCAGCACCTCTACTTTATTCCACTGTAGAACAAGTGGAGCAGGGGGTACCAATGCCATCATTGGACCCAACCAAAGTCAAGCACTTTAAGGGTCAAAAGTAGGCATTATGGTAAACACATGGCTGCTGCTAGCTATTTGGTTCCCACTTCCAGTGACATCTCGTGGAACTTACTCATGTCCTGATGTTGCAACGCAACGTGTTTTCCCTACCTTTCGCTGACAGCAGCCAATCCTGTGGGGTAGAAGCTGCGACACACAGAATGTTGTGACGTCAGGACACAGGAAAGTTTTGCAAGGCAGGCTAGAGAAGGATCCTACATGCACATATACTGTGTTCAGTAGCAGCCAAGCATTGCACATAACATCTAGTTTGCCCTTAATTCCCACCAATTTCAATGGGGGAGCAAGAAACATGTACACAATTCTTCCATTGTGCTTTACTTTGGCTCAAGCCCATTGTTTTCAATAGCTTGCCTTTCCTTTGCTTTTCAGTACAGTGGTGCCCCGCAAGACGAATGCCTCGCAAGACGAAAAACTCGCTAGACGAAAGGGTTTTCCGTTTTTTGAGTCGTTCCGCAAGACGAATTTCCCTATGGGCTTGCTTCGCAAGACGAAACGTCTTGCGAGTTTGTTTCCTTTTTCTTAATAGCCACTAAGCTGCTAAGCCGCTAATAGCCGTGCTTCACAAGATGAAAAAACCGCAAGACGAAGAGACTCGCGGAACGGATTAATTTCGTCTTGCGAGGCACCACTGTACGTTTGTCCCAAATCTGGTTGACTCAGTAATATATATATTGCACATGATTGCTTTAAAAATAAATATACTGTTGTGCTTCTTCCAGCATTCATTTGCCACCACAATAGTTTCTTAATTTACGGCTCCCTGAAAGAACCCACACTCAGCAACTGGACACGTGTCACGCATGTGTCCGTCTCGTTTGCTGTGTTTGTCAGCTTGTTGTTCGCTACGTGCGGGTATGTGACCTTTAGAGAATACACAGAAGGTAAGTTATTCCGTTCCGGGTTATAGGTATTGTTTATCTTGGCTTTCTGACAGTTCTCACCCACATTAAGCTTTTCTCCTAGATTCCCTCACCCAAGACTGCGGGTATTCTGTGTAGGATTTACTACTGGTAGGATTCTGTGTAGGATTTACTACTGGTAGGATCTGTGTAGGATTTACTACTGGTACACAATTCAGCATCTGCAAAACCTACTTCACAAACAAAACCCAAAAAAGTATCTAGGGGACCTATTTTCAGAACAAAATACCCACATGAGCAGGTTCCAGGGGCCACGTGGATGGGTGGGACCAGAGGCAAAGTTGGGTGGAGAAACCCATGTTTTGGCGCACTCCTCTCTCTCCATCCCAGCAGCCAAGAGTTCAAGGGCACATTCTACCCAGGCAAATGCACTCAAGGAGGACCTGAAGTAGGGCTGTTGAGGGATGTGACTGAAGACCGGCTGTGGCCATATTTGACCCCTGGGCATGAGGTTCCCCATTCCAGCCTCATGGCTTCTTATATATCCACATCTCAGGCTTATATACTGAAGATTCTCCAAAGATAATCCTGAATTTGAAGTAGTGTATATTGCTGTGTATATTGTACTGGGATGCAATCTCAAAAATGATAGAATGATCTCAATACGAATCCAAGGCAGACCTTTTAACATCACAGTAATCCAAGTTTATGCACCAACTACTGGTGCTGAAGAAACTGAAATTGACCAATTCTATGAAGACTTACAAGACATTATAGAAGTGACACCAAAGAAGGATGTTCTGCTCATAATAGGGGATTGGAATGCTAAAGTAGGGAGTCAAGAGATAAAAGGAACAACTGGCAAGTTTGGCCTTGGAGTTCAAAACGAAGCAGGGCAAAGGCTAATAGAGTTCTGTCAAGAGAACAAGCTGGTCATCACAAACACACTTTTCCAACAACACAAGAGACGACTCTACACATGGACATCACCAGATGGGCAGCATCGAAATCAGATTGATTATATTCTCTGCAGCCAAAGATGGAGAAGCTCTATACAGTCAGCAAAAACAAGACCTGGAGCTGACTGTGGCTCAGATCATCAGCTTCTTATAGCAAAATTCAAGCTTAAACTGAAGAAAGTAGGAAAAACCACTGGGCTGGTAAGATACAATCTAAGTCAAATCCCTTATGAATACACAGTGGAAGTGAGGAACAGGTTTAAGGATTTAGATTTGGTGGACAGAGTGCCTGAAGAACTATGGATGGAGGCTCGTAACATTATACAAGAGGCAGCAACTAAAACCATCCCAATGAAAAGGAAATGCAAGAAAGCAAAGTGGCTGTCCAACGAGGCCTTACAAATAGCAGGGGAGAGAAGGCAAGCAAAATGCGAGGGAGATAGTGAAAGATACAGGAAATTGAATGCAGATTTCCAAAAAATAGCAAGGAGAGACAAGAAGGCCTTCTTAAACGAGCAATGCAAAGAAATAGAGGAAAACAATAGAATGGGAAGAACCAGAGATCTGTTCAAGAAAATTGGAGATATGAAAGGAACATTTTGTACAAAGATTTCCATAATAAAAGACAAAAGTGGAAAGGACCTAACAGAAGCAGAAGACATCAAGAAGAGGTGGCAAGAATACACAGAGGAACTATACCAGAAAGAAATTGATGTCTCGTATACCCCAGGTAGTGTGGTTGCTGACCTTGAGCCAGACATCCTGGAAAGTGAAGTCAAATGGGCCTTAGAAAGCATCGCTAATAACAAGGCCAGTGGAAGTGATGATATTCCAGCTGAATTATTTAAAATTTTAAAAGATGATGCTGTTAAGGTGCTACACTCAATATGCCAGCAAATTTGGAAAACTCAGCAGTGGCCAGAGGATTGGAGAAGATCAGTCTACATCCCAATCCCAAAGAAGGGAAGTGCCAAAGAATGCTCCAACTACCGCACAATTGCACTCATTTCACACGCTAGCAAGGTTATGCTTAAAATTCTACAAGGCAGGCTTAAGCAGTATGTGGACCGAGAACTCCCAGAAGTGCAAGCTGGATTTAGAAGAGGCAGAGGAACCAGAGACCAAATTGCAAACATGCGCTGGAGTATGGAGAAAGCTAGAGAGTTCCAGAAAGACATCTACTTCTGCTTCATTGACTATGCAAAAGCCTTTGACTGTGTCGACCACAGCAAACTATGGCAAGTTCTTAAAGAAATGGGAGTGCCTGATCACCTCATCTGTCTCCTGAGAAATCTCTATGTGGGACAAGAAGCTACAGTTAGAACTGGATATGGAACAACTGATTGGTTCAAAATTGGGAAAGGAGTACGACAAGGCTGTATATTGTCCCCCTGCTTATTTAACTTATATGCAGAATTCATCATGCGAAAGGCTGGGCTGGATGAATCCAAGGCCGGAATTAAGATCGCCGGAAGAAATATCAACAACCTCAGATATGCAGATGACACAACCTTGATGGCAGAAAGTGAGGAGGAATTAAAGAACCTTTTAATGAGGGTGAAAGAGGAGAGCGCAAAATATGGTCTGAAGCTCAACATCAAAAAAACGAAGATCATGGCCACTGGTCCCATCACCTCCTGGCAAATAGAAGGGGAAGAAATGGAGGCAGTGAGAGATTTTATTTTCTTGGGCTCCATGATCAATGCAGATGGTGACAGCAGTCACGAAATTAAAAGACGCCTGCTCCTTGGGAGAAAGGCGATGGCAAATCTAGACAACATCTTAAAAAGCAGAGACATCACCTTACCAACAAAGGTCCGTATAGTTAAAGCCATGGTTTTCCCAGTAGTGATGTATGGAAGTGAGAGCTGGACCATAAAGAAGGCTGATCGCCGAAGAATTGATGCTTTTGAATTATGGTGCTGGAGGAGACTCTTGAGAGTCCCATGGACTGCAAGAAGATCAAACACATCCATTCTTAAGGAAATCAGACCTGAGTGCTCACTGGAAGGACAGATCGTGAAGTTGAGGCTCCAATACTTTGGCCACCTCATGAGAAGAGAAGACTCCCTGGAAAAGACCCTGATGTTGGGAAAGATGGAGGGCACAAGGAGAAGGGGACGACAGAGGATGAGATGGTTGGATAGTGTTCTCGAAGCTACAAACATCAGCCTGACCAAACTGCGGGAGGCGGTGGAAGACAGGAGTGCCTGGCGTGCTCTGGTCCATGGGGTCACGAAGAGTCGGACACGACTAAACGACTAAACAACAACAACAACATATTGCTCTAAAGAGCAAGTATAATGCTAATTATTATGAACTGGTGCTGAAGGTGTATTCCACTCACAGAAAGGCCAATTCCATTCTTTGGATGAGGTGAGAGCAAACCAGGCGGAAGCCCAAGGATACTCTTCTCCTTGAGAAACCTCTTGAACAAACAGAAACATGATATTGCCAGGCTGCAGGAGCATGAGGAATTCTGTAAAACAATGTTCTTTGGCGCCATGCCAATGCAGGACTCTTTTGCCCAACATAGGGCTTGAACCCACAACCCTGAACCTGAGAGGATCATACTCTACCAGCCGAGCCAATCCAGCTTGTACCAGATGAAGAGTAGAACAGAAAGGAGGAACCTGTGGGCCTCCCATGATGTTGCTGGACTGCAACTCCAGTCATCCCTGACCATTGGCTATCCTGGCTGGGGTTGATGGGAGTTGGACACACCTGGAAGGTTACAGGATGATGCCTGCTCCTGGAGTAGAAGATCACACAGAACCAGTCCTTCTCAATCTATTTACTTCCATGTCTGCAAAGAACCTTGTATGGGGGAATCTGTCTCTTGGAAGACTTGCACATGAGATGGGGGAGAGGTGGAATTGGGCATAGAGCTAACATAATTTGTAAGAGCCCTGCTAGATCAGACCAAATGCCCATGAGCCCAGCACCCTGTTTTCCACCATAGCCAGGCAGGTGCCTCTTGGGAAGCCTTCAAGCAGGACATGCGGACAATGGCTACAGTTCTTCACTTGTGCCACACCCCAGGCCCTTTGCTATAGCCACCACATACAATCTATTATAGTTCTGTGCGCAGAGTGCGAAAACCCCTAAGGTAACATTCCAAAGTTCCTAAGTTAACAATCCCATAAGCACTCCTATACGTAGCAAACACTTCAGAGGTTATTGCATATTTGAAGCCTTTCAGCTTTGATCCTGTGGCATGGGAAGTGTGTGCGCCCAGACTCCTTGCCCTGCTCTTCCTTAAGTGATTGTTCTTGTCACAAGAATAACAGCTACAGAGGAAATCTGTCTGCTTCGACCATGCGTTTTTATTCATCTTGAAAGAACCTTGCACCCTGACCCCAATTCAGATGCCAGGAATACTCCTACAGTAAAAGCAACCTTGGTGTGCAAAGGATGCTGAGCACAAGCTTGGCTACAAGATTTAGTTTTTGGAAATGATTCTCACACACCGAAAAAAAACCACAATAGCAGAAAATACGCAGTGCCCCTCGCATGCACAGCTAAGAACGAATTCTGTAGAGTGATCACAGCAGAAATGGTCCGTGCTGCTAGGGCCATACACCGAAGGCATGTGTTTCAAAAATAGAAGTTCACCGTGTCTCGTGGCAAACCACTATTGAACCAGAGGGGATTTCCCAAACACATTGTGATTTAGGAAGGAAGGAAGGAAGGAAGGAAGGAAGGAAGGAAGGAAGGAAGGAAGGAAGGAAGGAAGGAAGGAAGGGCCTAGAGATGCTCTTTGGAATCCAGCCAGTGTTTGTGGCTGTCTAGGTTTGTTCTTTGGAACTATCGGAATTTAACTGAGAGCAAATTTAAAAGTTCTCATGAATGCTTGGGTCTGTATTCACAATCTCTGTTTTCTCTTGCACATTACAAAGTTAATTTCATTGTCTGCCACTTCTTCAGGAGACATATTTGAGAACTATTGCCGAGATGATGACCTTGCCACGTTTGGGAGGTTTTGCTATGGAATCACTGTCATCTTAACGTTTCCAATAGAATGCTTTGTTACCAGAGAGGTGAGTGTTAATCGCACCTGTGTCTTAGATTGCAGAGAGTCACCGTTAATTTCTGAAGCCCCCAATGCAGCGGACTGTGATAAGTGCCCAAGGATGAAGTTTTAGATCACAGTTCCATCAAATTAATGTTTTCTACACTGCTGCTATGGAAATTACAATTATGTTGTGTTGCTGTAATAAGAAATCAGATGCAATGAATCCTCTTGCAGAATTCATTTCAGTCCACTTATTGACATCCTTGGCTGAAATAGACAATAGGACATATTAGACAGAAACCTAATCAGACTAAATATTCCTCAGTTTAACTAATGGCTGCAATGCAAGCAGACTCAGTGTCACCACGCAGTCTTCTTGGGCAACTGCTGGGGGCCACTTCTTTCGGTGACGCATTCATTCATTCTGGGTGACTGCAGGGGTTAGCCGCCATCTTAGTTTTCCCAAAATGTAATGCCCTGGAATTTTCATTGCTTCATGGCATTGTGTGCAGAGGGTGGTTGCTCAAAAAAGATGGTAGCCATATTATTAAGTTAATAGCATCACATATACTGGTGACTGAAAATGGGAAGCAACAAGTGCTGTCTGGCTCAGTGGAGAAGGTATAGCATATGTAACCAAGGATTCCGATGTATTACTATTACAGTGGTACCTCGGGTTACATACGCTTCAGGTTACATACACTTCAGGTTACAGACTCCACTAACCCAGTAATAGTGCTTCAGGTTAAGAACTTTGCTTCAGGATGAGAACAGAAATCGTGCTCCAGCGGCGCGGCGGCAGCAGGAGGCCCCATTAGCTAAAGTGGTGCTTCAGGTTAAGAACAGTTTCAGGTTAAGTACGGACCTCCGGAATGAATTAAGTACTTAACCTGTGGTACCACTGTAAGTACAAAATCACTTATTGTAGGATATGATAGGATGGAACTAAATCCAACAAACGTTCTCTGAAATGTTTGCATCCTTTTTATAGAATGTTGGAATAAGCATATGCTCATGGAAATGTAAGATTTATTTGATTATTGATTTAGTAAATTTGTATACCACCCTGTACCCATAGATCTCGGAGCGGTTCAGAACGTAGATTAATTGACAGACAAAGATAATGTTTGTTTTCTTTTTGGAAGTACATGACCTCAGTTCGGTCCTGATGTATACTGGATCCTTAACCCTCTGCCTAGGTTTGTTTTTATTTTTTAAAAAAATGAAAATGAAACAAAAACCAGTCTAAATATTGATCTATTTTTCCAGCTGTACAAAAAAATTCATACTTGGCCAATTTAAAAGCAGCTATGTGTTACTCTGGAAACGTTTTTAAAAATAAATAATTATGTGTACCTGGGTGCCTTGGGGGCAAGGGCCTTTCATTGAAGTCTGCTGTTCAGTTGTAATGCATTCCTTTGGCTTGTGCATAACCCTAACATGAGAAAATTAAAAAATGCCACATCATAACAGTACTTAGAACTGTGCTTCTGTTTCAGGTCCTCGCAAACGTGTTTTTCAAGGGAAACCTTACAACCATTTACCACGTTGCTCTGACAGTCATCGTCATTGCTTTAGCGACAAGTGTATCGTTGGTGTATGATTGCCTGGGAATAGTTTTAGAGCTAAATGTAAGTGCATGGGGATTTTACAACTACTAAAGTGTTGGAGTTTTCTTTTGTTTTGGCTTAATGAAGTAGACTGTTTCCTCAAATTGTTATTGTGTTAATAGGATATGCTTAAGGAAGAAATTTGGTGCTTTGCTTCTTTGTGGCAAGTTGATGAACTTTTTGTCTGAAGCTACAGAAATAAGTTTTTCCCCCTGGGGAAAAATGAAGGGGCATTCTAAAGCCCCTGTTCAAGCAAAATTATTAAGTCGCTTCCTCCATCCTGAGGAGTCTTGCAGATGCCTGTTTTTGTTTTGTTTGAGTAACTGACAACCGCTAAGTCTTGCCCAGAGTAAGTCTTGCCCACTGAAACCAATGAACAAGTTCCTCAAGTTCACTGGTTCCTCGTTGTGATTTCCACCCCATTCCTTCTAAACTCTCTGCATAGAATTAATTTCAGGAGCGTGCCTCTGCAATACACCACAAATGCATATTTAGTGTTTTACTTCCTGCTTGCAGGGGGTGCTCAGTGCTACTCCACTGGTCTTCATCCTGCCTGCCGCCTGCTTCCTGAGGTTCTCCGAGGAGCGATGGACCCATTCCGACAACCTTCTCTCTGCCCTGATCCTTACCATTGGGGTGCTAGTGATGATAGTTGGCTTCGTTATGACTGTCCTGCATCCCCAGGATTGTAGCCATGGGCAAGAAATGCCATACTGCTTCCTTGGAAATGCCTCACTCTACAACCAAACAGTCCTGTCTTCTCCGCAAACACACCAACCCTAGGAGACCGTGGCCTCCCAGACAAGAGCAGTGCAAATATAAACTTTTTAAAAAAACGTTTTTGTGAAGTCCATTGTGTGTTTCAGGTTTTTAAACGTACTCTTCCCCCCCCTCCAAGATATAATAAAAGTTAAACACTGAGCTGCAAACGTGATTGGTTTTTGCAGTTGTGAACTCTCCCTAAATTGCAAAAATGCAATATATTCTCCAGTATGTGCAGTATGTAAGCAGATAGCCCATTTCTTTGGATCCAGCTGCTGCAATATTGGACAGCCTAAACTGAGAGCTGGTTCCCACTAGAAGGAAAGAAACAGTTTTTGTTGTTTGCTAGCAGCTTCATATTTCCAATAGCATCACAATGGTGGTGTAAAATTCACCCCAGATTAAGGGTTGATTGAGTAAAGTGTGGGAAATTGAGGAGATCTCTTAGCAAATCAAAGGAACTTTCAATCCTTCATACTCAGGTGGCTTTGGGGAATTCCTGTCTTTAATTTAATTGATTCTACTAAAATTCTCCAAAAGATATTGAGACCTTTCATTTTTATGTTATAAAACAAGTCATTATTGTATTATGCCCAGGAGGCTAACAAGTAAATAACAGTGCAATACCATAAATACACTTACAGTATTTAGGACTCAATGGGAGTTCTAAGGAGAAGTAGATAGGATTGCACAGTAAAAGTATTTACCTGTAATTCACTTTTTATCCTCACAAATTTGGGACACAGAGCTCTGTTTTTATTGAAATCATTTCTCCTTGTATAGCTTTAGTTTGAAGCACAATCCTCCCTGAACCCCACCCCACCCCCGCCAAAAACCCCCTCAATTACCATAGATGGTACTGTGGAGCCTTTCAGATGTTGTGGACTGCAGTTCCCATCAGTCCCAGCAAGCATAGCCAGTGGCCAGGAATTATGGGAGTTTTAGTCCAGCAATGTCAGGAAGGCGCCAGGTTGGGTATCCCTACTGTATCATGTGAGAGTCAAAACTTAAAAACAAAAGCCTATTGCCTGTCTCCAGCATATGTTGACTTCAAAGTAAGCCCCATTTATTTCAAAGCAAGTGATATCAAAGCAAGTATGCAGAGGGTAGCAGCTCTTCTATGATTTGTTTTTCTCTTCAGAATGCCGGGGGGGGGAGTAAATGTGACAGGAGGGGATCTAAAATGCAGGATATAGCCTAAAGTAATATATTCAGGTTCATTTAATACAGAAGCAAAAGCTGGCAGTGAAACACAAAGAAAACCGAAACACAGGAAATTTTGTCTGAAACACTGTAAATGTTTCTAATCAGCCTCCCAACTCAAGCCAAATGTTACCCATTTATGGGAACAGCTTCCATATCAAAAATTGGAATCAGGCACAAACTCCGGCAGCGTTTAGCGAATGTCTAAAGCAAAGAGTTTCGGCGGAGCGGGGGCTTCTCCCTCCTCTTTTGCCTAGTGGAACTGTACTGCAAAAATAATAATAATAATAATTAGATTAGTTTGTGGAGCACTTTCCCATTTATGACATGTGGTTACCTCCATCACGCTGACAAGGCAATTCAATAATAATAATAAAAACCCTGCGAGGCAGCTTCCTTATACCACAAAGATCTGTTGAGGGAATTTAGAACACATTTCTGTTGCATTTTAATAGGATTTAACTGGTGGAAACACAGTAGAGAAGCCAAGATGAAATGGCAAGAGCTGTCCTTGGAGAACCATCGGCAAATGAGCTGGAGACTGTTGGCGGTCCATGGAATACGAATTGCAAACCCCTCAGGAAGAAGCATTTTGCCAAGTTACGAACAACTACGCTTCCCATTACAAATACTTTCTCTTTATCACATTTTGGAAAAGTCACATCCGATTTAATATGTTAACAGAGAAGGCATGCTTCCCTATACAGTGGTACCTCTGGTTACGTACTTAATTTGTTCCGGAGGTCCGTTCTTAACGTGAAACTGTTCTTAACCTGAAGCACCACTTTAGCTAATGGGGCCTCCCGCCGCCACCGCCGCGCAATTTCTGTTCTCATCCTGAAGTAAAGTTCTTAACCCGAGGTACTATTTCTGGGTTAGCGGAGTATGTAACCTGAAGCGTATGTAACCTGAAGCGTATGTAACCTGAGGTAACCTGAGTACCACTGTAGTTTGGTCTTAGCCTCAGGTCTAGTCCCAGCCTCAGGATTCTCCCCAGGCTCCAGACCTCCTCTCTCCAGGTGACTTCCCTAACTGGTTCCAATCTGCGTCCACTTCAAGTGCTGTTACCTGCCTGGAATGTGATAATGCCTCTTGCTTGGGGGTTGTAGTTCAACAACAGCTGTAGGCCCAAAGGGTTCTCCACACACGTACTAGGCCAGAGTTTCCCAAACTTGGGTCTCCAGCTGTTTTTTGAGACTACAGCTCCCACCATCCCTAACTAGCAGGACCAGTGGTCAGGGTTGATGGGGATTGTAGTCCAAAAACAGATGGAGATCCAAGTTTGGGAAACCCTGTATTAGGCCATCTCAGTAACGGCTGAATTATATAGCTTCAAAACAAGCAAGGACACATCAAGGGCCATTGCAGAACATAAATATTGAGGCTGAGCTTTGCTCTAATTTAGTAGGCCAGATGGCTTCTACAAACATCAGAAGCCTCCTGCTGCTTTTTGGACCAGTGTACAGACCAATATAAGGTTGCACGCCACCCCAGTCTCCGAGCAGGGCAAGATTCCAGGCGCTTACCCAAGGTTTGGTTCCCTTCAGAATGAGGCACAGTGGAGACGCTGGTGTCTTTATGATATATGGTTTATTTTACACCTATATACAACCTTAGCCTACGATGGATCGGCTCACAGCATTAACACCCCAAGAGTGTCTTCTCCCATAGCCACAGCCTTGGATCCCAACAGAAATCAGGCATAGCATCAGCTGCTTCTAGCTTGCACACACAACTCCCAACTCTGGCCTTTGTCTTTCTCACCACCAGTGAATTGAGTGACTGAGGGGGGTGCACCCATTTGCTACCTGGCACAGAGGCACTTCGTTACCTTAATGGCCCATACTTAAGAGGACCATTACCTCACCAGGCAGGAAGCTAGCCTGGCTGTTCCAGGAATGGAATCCACACTGGATCCAGGACTTTGAAAGGTCTCAGACATGCAGCCTAGCCCTGCCCCACTCCAAACATTGTTATATTTAGGGCCATAAAGTAGACATCACTTGCCTTCCAGCCTTTTACAATTGCGGCTCACTAAAATGCACCACACCATTATATGAAAGCTTGTAAAATGACTATAACCGCTTAGAGCACATTTTTAAAACAACCACCATGGTTGAAATGTTTTAGTGCAGAGCACTAGCGAGGGATGATGGGAGTTGTAGTCCCAAAACATCTGTAGGGCCGATTATGGCAATGCCTGCCCCAGCGCCTTTGGTCTTTAGGCAGCCTAATATGAGAAATGTCGCCACAGAACTTACTGAAGCATGCTCATGGTGACAAAATGTATTTAAAATATATTTTCCTCCACCTCTAAATTGGCAGCCCATTACTATTAATAATGTGGATTCTTTATGGGGGTGCTAATATAGGATCTATCCACTGTTGGCCGAAACGAGTGAAAAAATAGTATTTCCCCCTCACACTGAACAAAACCACGCACCCAAAGTTCAACACCAGCCTCTACCTAATCTTCAGCTCCAGGGGACAGAATAGCACGTACTCATGAAGCCAGCAGACGAGTCCTGCAAGGGCCCAGCAGCGGTAACCATGGCTACAAACTCACATATAGACATTGGAGCGGTTGTGGCACAGGCCCCAGGCTCCTTAGAATGATGTACATCAAAGAGTCAGCCAAAGCTCCCTCTTCTCTTCTCTTTCCCACTTCCCTGGCAGACTACCAGCACCAGAGAGAACCTCACATAGAACATTAAATGCTGCTTCCAAGCTCCAGCGAATGGAGGTGTCTGGAAGGACTCAGAGGCCAGGAGGAAAGGGATACACAAACATTCATAAACACACACACACACACACACACACACCCTTTCACAAAACATTAAAGGTAAAGGTAAAGGTACCCCTGCCCGTACGGGCCAGTTGTGACCGACTCTAGGGTTGGGCGCTCATCTCGCTCAAGAGGCCAGGAGCCGGCGCCGTCCGAAGACACTTCCGGGTCACGTGGCCAGCGTGACGAAGCTGCTCTGGCGAGCCAGCACCAGTGCAGCACACGGAAACACCGTTTACCTTCCCGCTATAAAGCGGTACCTATTTATCTACTTGCACTTAGGCGTGCTTTCGAACTGCTAGGTGGGCAGGAGCTGGGACCGAATGACGGGAGCTCACCCCGCCGCGGGGATTCAAACCGCCGACCTTACGATCAGCAAGTCCTAGGCACTGAGGTTTTACCCACAGCGCCAGGGCAACATAAAAATATTTGAACACAAAACAAATAATCATACCTACATTAAAACCAGCTTTTTTTTAAAAAAAAAAGAACAATAAAACATCCCATCCATGCAAAAAGGCCACATATAGTTAAAAGCCTGAGGCCTCATGAAAAAGGCTTACTTTCAGTAGTCTTGACATGAGGACTAGGGTCTTTGCACCAGCCTTTGCATTTAAGCCCACGGGCATGCCTCTACAATTTGCCGTTCCTTTCTTTAAAACCATGTGACTGGAACTATTTGTACACATTTGTATGTATTTATAAGACAGCCACAGGCATGCTGAAAAGCAGGAACTGCCTCAGCATACCAGAGTCCTTTTTTTTTGCGGGCAGCTGTGAAGAATAAAAAAAGAAAGCAACCCCTTTTCTTCCCATGTTACAATCTCCACCCATGCTGCTATTTTAGACACAGGTGTACCCAACCTGGGAGAGACAACCCGAAAATACTCATATCTGGTGTTGTCTGCCAACCCACCCCCTCTTATTTGCTGTATTAATATATTACATTTCTAAAAGGTTTTTTTTAATTAGCTCTTAGTAGAGATTTGAAGGATTAACTCTGTTTGAAACTAACCTACTTAGTCTGTGAGAAATGTCCAAAAAAAATGTAATTAATATGGATTAACTAGGCATAATAACTAAATACTTTTTACAGAGAGGAAGAGAGAGAAAAAACATAGATAATTTTGTATTTGTAATATTATTTTAATGCTGCAGAATGATTTGAGGC